CCCCCCCGCCCAATTTTTCTGGGAGTGAGTGCCCTAGATACTAGCCTGTGATCTTGACCACATAACAAAAAACCAATGCTGGATTGGAGTTAACCCAGATTCTAAATCAGTCAGCACAGCACCCCAGATACATGGATAGAAAATCATCAAACTACCACTGAAATGATGTTGCCTTGATGATGTGACACCAAACTCTTAGAACTGATAAGAGCAATATTGGGCATTTCTTGAGGAGAGTTCATACTTTGATCTGCAGACTGAAGAGGTCTTTGACCTCCTTAGTCTGAGTAGGTAGTTGTCTTTAGTTGTTGTTGACCAAGAGTGACGTCAAGATGGCTGTATATTGGCCAAGTTCTTTTTTGGGGTGGTGTTTATGGACTGAGACGGAGTTGAGGTCCGTAAACTCGCAAAAAAAGAATGAAGCGACGCAGACATGAATTGCATGCCGACCACTCCCTAGTGACACTCACTGTTTTGACACTTTCTCGAGAGCTTTTGTACAAAGGCAGTGGACATTTGCAAAAATATGACGGTTCTGCAGTCTAAAATATTTGATACGAATGAGGAACTCTGAGAGGTCCGTGTAGTGTCCTGAATTGCTTGTTGCAGCAAGCAATGGACACTTCACAAACCTCCGCACAGATGTCTCATCATCAGGAAATTTTAACAGTTGATTTTGGTGCATCTGTCTGTGTAGCTGGTTAGGCAAACTTGTTTCCAGGGCCACCCTTCTCTGTCACCCAAAGTCAGAGGCCTGGAGCTGACCAAAACATTTCTCGGAGCGATGTTGCTTTAAAAAAACGCATAAAACCTGTTAATAGCAGGTGGAGCACGCTTTATTTCCAGTCTTTAGCGAATAATAATTATTTGTTGACTGAATTGATTTTAATCTCCTTTTGCGTCAAATGGAATAATGGAATTATTTAAATTTCCAGGGCTATAAACTGTGTGATTGTTGTTAATGCACTGTATAAAAAATTTAAAGAGGTGATTTAAGTAGTCACGTTCTTAGCTTAAAGCAATTTTGAAAGGCAAACCACTTAACCCTGAGGTATCATATGTTTGAAATAATTTGAATAGCCAGTTTCTCCCTTGTTGGATTTTTGTTTCTCCCCGACATGTACAGAGATTGAACATGCATCATGATTTCTTATGGCTGCCTGCTACTTTACCACAAAATTCTCAACTCTAACATTAAAAGTTAGTTAATGCAACAAGTATAGAAAATTTATATTGTTAATTGTTTTGATTTTTTTTGGAAATTTTCAGAAATTTTATAAATCCGTAATTTTATGACTTCCGTGCGAAACTTACATACGTGCAGGATTTTCATTAAAAGATCTAGTTTTGATGTTGAACATTTTAATTCCAATTTTTTTCGGATCTCTCTAATAACAAGTGTATAAAATATAACATTCTTCATCAAAACATTTGACGCACGTGATATTTGCCATGTCATGTCACTAATTATCTTATTTGGAAAGGAGTGCTAGCCCGTAGCGAGCTACAAAGTGCTTCATCTGTCAAAGTGGCTAATACAAAAAACAATTCGCGAAACATTTTTAATATCAAATTCGTTTCAAGTTAAATACACTATTTACAAAAGTAAGGGAAAATTAGTGAACGACCGCGTGAAATTCTTATAACCAGTCCTCATCGAATAACCACAACACGCATATCTTTTGGTCTGTTTTCTGTTGTTCGATGCAACTCGGATATTTCTGAGTTTTCACAGTCCAGTGTCAATCGAGTTCGTTTGTTCAGAAGTTTGTGAGTTGATTTCCTTCACAGTGACGGTCGGCCATCGCATTACAAGCGCTTCCTCGTAAGTTGGTGGCGGAGTAACGGGTCCGTCTATATCCTCTGTCCAGAACCCCTCGTTCGCAGTAGAGTTACTTACTTCATCAATATTGTTAACAACAGACAGAAATTCTGGCAAGCCCGTGGCAGAATCTTCAGCAAATGCCTGTCGATGAGGAATATGATTATAAGCAAGTACGGGAGCAGGAGATTTTTCCAAATCCGCCGCGGGAATCGCCGAAACAGCGACTTGCGGTGCTAAACTATTTTCCGTTCCCTTGCAGCACAATGACAATGCAATAAGTAGAATTCCTAACAGAAATAAAACAGTCGCTAAAATCCTCATGACTTTCACCATAGATTGATCTTCTGGTTTCGTCTCACAACCGTCGCAATTTCCAAATAAAATGTACGTGAGACTGGCGAGAACGAAACAAGCGCCAATGCAAACAAATCCAAACACGATCGCAGTAATATGAAGTCCTTTCTTGCATTTTGCTGATCTCAGAACACGCAAAACTCTTGATTGAGAAGTTGTGGTGCTTTCCGACATGACTGAAGATCCACGCTGTATCCGACTGTGTTAATCAAGAGTTTTTCTCTCTTTAAGAAGTTTTCTGACACAGTTTGTCTTCCCTAAGACATTACGTGATGTCCAACAAATACGGAATGAGCCGAATCGCCGGAAGTTTGATTTGTATAATCTTCTGTTTATTTCAATTGACGCAGCATCGCTCATGCGTGACCTCACGTACAAAATAATTAATGAAAATGGCACGAAAGCATTTTAGTTCTGCAGAGGGGAGGCAAAATTTTCACGTTTTTTGGACTGGCGCCTCTTCGCCCAACTCTAAAACTGTAATCAGCGCAGAAAAAGTTTTAAATTAAATTAGAAAATCTGGAGTTTCATTTTGCCTCCCCCACCCCTCGATAGCCCTTCTACCGTGGTAAACAATGCCCGTCTCTACATGAATGACCATGATGACCTCTAGACTTAGTAAACAGCATGTTTCACTAGAAAGGAAACTAAAGGAACATACATGTCCTTCGCTCAGATAAAGATATTACACGTTTTGGGGGGAAAGTTGATTGCTTCACACTGTGTACAGAGTTCTAGGATTTAAGGTTCTGTCGTTGCTATCGCATAAAAAAAAATATGTTTATCGTACAAATTTCAATTTCCAAGGTCGTAAATCAGTTGTATCACATGAAATAAAACTGTTCTTCAAGCTGCGCAGGTAAATTTTATGAACAACAATTGACATTTAATTGTTGTTATTGCCGTGTTTCGCAATAATTCCAAATCTGTCGAGTTCTTGAAATAACCATGTTTTTTAAACTTGCGATCATAGGGTATAAATTCAAGGTAAAGTATTTAAAGGTTTCCTTTTTTGGCTTCCTGTAAATTTTAAAACAAGGAAACTCCTTTCCGACGGGAAAGCTGAAGCTTGCGACAAAGAAACCATTGACGAATTAAATGGGAGTTACTTCCGTGTGGGTTGAAACAATGATTTGTTTTCAAAAATTCCCAAAAATATTTATCTCTTTACGGTAACTTTACAAGTCGGCAAGTTACAAGAGTGAAAATATCGAGAAGAAACCAATACGTCTTTAACATAGACAGCCCTGTTTCAGGACGTACAAAATTATCTCTGATTATCTGCAATTCAAAGGAAACCGCAGGTCTTGAGAGAATTGTTTAATAGGAAAGAACTTAACAGCAATATGGTTAACCACTATAAAATGACACAAGAATAAAGGTATTTTCAAAGACGAGGGAACATTGAAACGACAAACTTGAATGTACGTTTTGCATCGGTGACGTGCATTTTTTTTTCAGAAATATTATATTACAGGAAATACGTGTTAACCTTGAAAGGAGTTTTAGCATTCACCTGGGCAATAAGAAATTTTCAGGTTCGATTTTCATAAAACCCTTCCCGAAAGTTCGATTGCATCAAAATTGGAATCACTGCGTGTTTAAATTTAAATGTGTAGACGTCATGAAGATTTATAGCAAGGTATTTTGAGACACGATTTGACTTCGGGGAGCCGGCGTGACTGTCTGAGAAATATAACAAAGGCTTTTCAAAGATTCCTAGCCGTAGAAGACAGAGCGAAAAAATAAGCCTAATATTTCTCTCGGTTTTCAACTGAACCTGGTATTGAGTTTAATAACTGTGGAATCTGTTTTCACCGCAGAAAATCTCCGCTTCTTTAACGCTTGATCAAGTACGATAAGACCTGACGATTTTCGATTGTGGCGTTGCCGACTTGAAAAACGGAAGGGTCGAGAATTACTTCCTTTAGTAATATCTTAAACAATCAGGAACAATTTCTTTAGATTGCAATGCTGTTTTGAGACTTGAGTTTAACGAGTTAATTGAAACTGAAGACACGAATTATCTTAAATTTAGACTTAAACTTAAATTTAAATTCAATTTAAACTGAAAAACGAATTATCTATGTCAGCTGTATAAAAGTCTGCTATGATAAAAACAGATAATTCATTAAAACGAGAACTTTTTTCTTAACTGTTCCTTCCGGTCGTTGAATTTGTCTGAACAAGATTTCAGGTTTTTCAACTAAGATTTCCCTGGACTTGCTCCATATGTTGTGAGGGTGAAAATGAGGTTAGCCGTGAAATGGGCCAAAAATGTTGCCGTAAGGCGTAAAAAATTGGAAAATAGTAATAAAACAAATTGTAAAATGTTAACAAAAGATGTTAACGTGAAGAAATGTCAACCACAAAAGTAGAAGTCTCCTGCAAGATCTCTTTGTCAAGACTATAGCAAGCTATCTTAATCTTCAGTTCTTATGATTATACCTTCCCCATCCAAGATGGTCCTGAAACCTTATACATGTTTTACAGTAATCAAAATAAACAATATTACATAAATTTCTAAGATTTCTTTAACCGTAAGGAAAATAAATTAACCGTTAGCCGTGAAAAGAGCAAAATATTGGTCGTTAACCGTAAAAGCCACTACCTCTTTCGGCCGGTACCTTTGTTCAGTCTTGTGCACCTACAGGATTTGCACATTATCATGTCAAATGGCATGGAGTGCTCTATTGCATGACGCAGCAGTTTACGCAGCAATTTTGCATGATGCAATAACACGAGTACGAATATCAGAGCTTCACAGAGCGTGAAACTCCTATACACATTTTATGGATATATAGCTACAAAAATAACTTGATTGTGATTGGCTGAGAGCAGGCCAGTTCATCGTTCATTTGCGCTGTATTGTAAACCTCGATGTTCTTCGTTATACAATATTAAAAGAGTAATGGAGCGTTTCCACTCAGGTGGCCAACACCCGTGAGAATTTATTGGAACAAAGGAAGTGTTTACATAAGGAAAGAGTTCAACTCCGAGAGTTTGGTTCGGTACGCCAACATGGCTGCCGTTTCATTGTTTTGGAACATCAATATGGCCGCAGTGACGTCATTGTGAAAAGCCACTACCGTAAGGACACACTAACAGGTACTCGGGTGAATGCAAGTGCAATTAAAGACTAACACTACTCGTGATATTAGAAAATTCTTTCATATAACGTTCGCCTTAAGGCTCGTGATATTTTGAGAGTATTTTCGAATAATATTAGTGGTGTAAAGTCTTAAATTGCACTCGCATTTATTCGATTACCTGTGCGTTTTACGTCGCCGGCCACGCAATTTTTTTAAAACGAATCATGCTGTTTAATAAACATATGCTTATTCATCGGAAGAGCTAAACCCGAGTATTAAAAATACCTAATGATTCAATACAACTTAATTCTACAGCTTTGTACTCAACACAAAACCATTAATGCCATTGATTATGTGAATACGCCAGTGACGTCAACAACTTGCCCTGTCACGATAGGCTTCACTGCTCATAAGGGACGAACCATTACTCTTTGAGGGGAGTGGGGTGGGGGTTGGGCAATTCCAAAAAAAAAAATGCTTCCTGTAAAGCAAAACCGGCTGGAAAGAAAAAAATCGTGCAATGGGAACCATGGGAAATAAATTCGAGCAAGTGTTTTCCACTATCCAAGTCCTGTGTTTGACTTGAAAAAAATCTTGCTCAAGCTATTGCCCACCAAAAAATAAATCATGCACAACCTAAAGGTGAGAAGAAAAATTTCATGCCCCAGAAAATTGCCCAACGACCCCCCACCCCTCCCCCCTTTCCCC